GCCGGGCCCGTTATAAATATATATTATATATAATGCAAAGAAAGGTAAATGGTTTTACTGGGATTTTTATCGAGAAGTAAATATTTCGATTTTTTATTTATTTAAGCTGTTCATTCTGGCAATGATTTGGCAACAGTGCGGGTGGTCCTCGAGCTCTATTTTTACTGTCTGGTATTTAAACTGAAACACACGTTTCTAAGCAATACGAGGCCACCTTCAGTCGCAAGCTGGGTGCCAGGCCTGGGGCCCCTCCCAGCTCCCCCGCCCCAGGAAACCCTGCTGACCTTTGCAAAGGCTGCCGAGCTCTCGTGCACTTTTTACATAAGAAAAAGGTGAAAAAAAGGAAAAAAAAAAAAAAAACTTCTTTGCCACAAACTGAGCCGCAGAACCTCCCTTCTTCCCCCACCCACCTCTCCTGCTCTCTCCCTTCTCTGCGCCAGCCTAGGGCTCTGCACCAAAGCCATAGGTTGGGGGAGCAGGAGCTGGTGTGCCCCGGAGCGGTGTGGCCAACCCTCCACCAGCTCCAGGCGCCAAATCTTGGTGGCAGGGAGGGCACCCCACTGCCTGTTGCCCCAGAGCTGTTCCCTGGCAGGGGAGGACAGGCATTAGGCCCCATGGTGCCCGGGTGTTCAGAGAGGCTGAGGAATAGAACAGTGTGTAGGGGCCTGGGGCAGGGGGTTCTGGAGTGTCAGATGAGGTGGAGGCCAGGGCAGGACAGGGGTGTTAGTGCCCCCAACTCCTGCCAGAGCCCCAGTCCAGCCACAGAGTGGCTCAGCAAGGCCATTAAGAGGGCTGCGGCCCTCCCTTCTCCCTTGCCCATGCCCCTAGAGCTGCCTCTCGGGCAGGGCGGCACCACTGCAGGAGAGGAGCTTGGCCTCTGGGAGTCAGGCAGGAGGGGCCTGGCTAGCCAGTGCTGGCTCCACTGGACAGGGAGCCCTGGACCCCCAGGTATGAGGAGGGGATGGGTTTAGAGTCCTGTTCCAGGTCCGTCCCCCACCTAGCAAGGCCCCAGGCAGAACTTGGAATTCAGGCTCGCCTGCAGGCCAAGGGGTTCCACAAGCAGGTGCTGCTCGCACAGGGAGTTCAGGCGCCAGCTAAGCCCCTGTGCTTCTGTGGTAGGCCTGCTTCACTTAGGGAGCGCTGCCTCAAGGCAGATAAAGCTCCCTTGTTTGCCCCGACACCCATGGGGGCCTCTCAAGAGAGAAACTCCCGTTCACCCCTTTCCCAGGGCACTCGCTCTCTAGGTGGCATGCCAGCCCCCAAACACAGGTGGCTTTTGGGCCCAGGTGGGTCAGCCTGCTGCCCCTGCCCTATACCCTCTCAGGCCGTTGGGACCCCTGTCCTTCAGATGTCCAAGGGTCTAGGAGTGGGGCCAGTCACCATGGGAAGAGGCCAAGGGTCTTGGCAGGAGAGGCGGCCCAGGTAGGACCCAGTCCTGAGTCCAGAGCAGGGCCAGGGAGGTGCCCACCCCGCCCCGGCCAGCCGCCCTCTCTCTTGTTTCTTCTATTTGTTCTTCTTTTCACCCACAGCCCTGTGTTCCTGTCATCCCTCCTTTCAGCAAAAGTCCTGTTCCCCTTCCCTCTATCCCCACCCATTCCTGTTCCCCAAGAAAATAAGCTATCATTGTTGTATTTGCAATCTATGGATTAGAGGTTTAAGTATTTATTATTATTGGTTAATTATTATTAATTATGTAAATTTGCCTCCCGTCTGTCTGTTGCATTGGGTTTCTGAGGAGGCCCTGGGTGAGGAGGATGCACTGGCTCCCCGCTTCTCGCCCCCCACCCCTGTGCTGTCCAGGAGGCAGTGGTCTGGGGCCACTGGTTGGGCCCCCCTCCTCCCCTCCCCTTGTCCCTTCTCCAGGCTGTGTGTGTGGGGGGGTCCTGTCTGTCTCAGTCTGTCTCTGCTCCCACTCTTGAGGCACTGGTCACCCCAAAGTGAGCTGCCAGGGTGGGGAAGAAGGTCCTGTGTTGGCCACTGCCTCCTCCAGTGCTGTGGGAGGCAGGCTGGGGCCCCACCTGGTGGCTTTCTCCCCACTGGGCCCTGAGTCCTCTCCAAGCCTCTCTCCCACCCCTCTCACCCGGCCACTGCCTGGCATTGGGATCGCCCCACAATGGACCCGGCCCCTCCTGTTATTTGCTGGGAAGTCCAGCGGAGGAGAGGATGCAGGTCCCCCGCCGAGCCTCCAGTCTCTGTGGACTGGGCTGCCGGCCCTTCCGCACCCCCTTAGAGCCCTTCCCGACGCGGCTGCACCTTCCGCTCCGGGCCCCTCCCTTTGTATTTGGAGACAATGTGTTGTAATAAAGCTCAAAGTGGATGTTTTCCCCAGGACTCCCTGCCTCTTCCTTCAGACTGGCGGTGGGCAGGGTGGGGGCAGAGGCTGCTGGGAGGCAGGCCTGAGGCCAGGAGCCCGTGTGTTGGGCCTGGAAACTTGCCCCAGGCTCACACCGTGGGTGGGCTCAGAATAGTCCCTGAGGGCCAGGCATGGGCACAGGTCCTCAGCTGCACCCTTAGGGTGTAAAACACACTTTTTTGGTGGTTACATGCTAGTAAAAGCTTAAATAACTTGAAACGATATAAAATCTCAGTGTTACCCACAACTCCCCTCACTCCCACAGTCCCAGTGTGAACAGCTAGAGGCTTCCCTCCCGGCCCCTCCATGTGTGCTGTGTGCACGTGTGTGGGTGCATGTACGTACCAGCAGAAATAGGGGTCTAGTTACCTTTAGTGTCTCCAACCAGCGTTTTTCTTGTTTTGTTTTGTTTTGTTTTGTTTTTAGATGGAGTCTCGTTCTGTGGTCCAGGCTGGAGTGCAATGGCGTGATCTCCATCTCCCGGGTTCAAACAATTCTCATGCCTCAGAGTCCCAAGTAGCTGGGATTACAGGCATGTGCCACTACACCTGGCTAATTTTTGTATTTTACTTTAGTAGAGACGGGGTTGCACCATGTTGGCCAGGCTGGTCTCAATCTCCTGACCTCAAGTGATCTGCTTGCTTTGGCCTCCCAAAGTGCTGGGATTCCAGGCGGGAGCCACTGTGCCTGTCCTCCAGCTAGCTTTTCAAATCTTAAGTAATGTGCACACCATACAAGGATCAAAAGTACACCAGAGTATGCGGTAGAAAGTACTGGTTTGTCTCCCCCAGGCTTGTCCCCAGCCTCCAGGGTCCTCTCCCTGGAGGCAGCCCCAGCCAGACCTGCAGAGCCCCCCACCCCGAGGGCAGACCTGGCTGCTGCAGGTGCCACAGGCTGCAAAGATTCACAGTGTGCATGCAGCCCAGAGTGAGGCTTGTCTACACTGCCGTGGAGGATACCAGATATGTCCTCACCACACAGACCTCTGGTTCATGCAGCTTCTTCCAGGTTTAGTATACCTATCCCAGGGACCCCTCCCAACCAGTGACGCTGTCCAGACCATGTGTGTGTGAGCGCTCATGAGATGGGAAGAAGAGGAAGCAAGACAAGGGAAGAGGAGGGGACCAGCCCCTCCTTGGGGGCTGCAGGAGGAGGTAGGGTCCTTGAATCCTGCATCTTTAAGAGTCCTCAAAAAGGAGGAAAGCTAGAAACATAGTCTGATGCTCCCACAAGGCTATTTTTGGCTCAAGAACATCTATTTATAACTCTGGCAGCCCCTAGCAGTCAATAAAACCGATGCCTGGAAAGAGCTGATGGCTGACTCAAGCGGCACCGAGGTGCTCCCCTACCCCTTGTGCACAGGAGTACCTGCAGCTCCAGGAGGTGGGTGACAGGGCCTCTCCTAGGATGCCCATCTGGGGCACATAGGTCTCAGGACCCTGGGGGCAGTGTAAGACTCCAGATGGAAGGAGGGGTCTCATTTACCAACTCAATCAGGCTCCTAGAGGTCCAAGAGCTGCCCAAAGTAGGTGGTGAAGCAAGAGTGAACACGGGTGGACAGCTTCCAACTGCTACACAGAGTCCCCTAAAGGCTTGATGCCCTGTCTGCACTTGTGTCTCCCCCCAGGACAAGAGCTTTAGTTGCTGGATAGGTCTTGGATGGGTAGGTAGATGGGTGGATGAGGGAGGGAGACATGGATGGATGGGTAGGTGAATTTATGGATGGGCAGATGGATGAATGGTGGATGAATGGATGGATGGGTGGATGGATGGGTGGGTAGATGGGCAGATGGATGAATGGGTAGAGGGATGAGTGGGGTGGGTGGGTAGACGGATGGATGGATCAATGAATGGGTGGATGGGTGGGCAGATGGATG